TACGTTGACTGGTACATGTACGATCCAACCTCGACTTCCAGTTAAGTCTCGTCTAATAGACTCTTTACGGTTAAAAAAACACGGTGAGAGGCTTCCTTTTATTTTGAAGAAAGCTATAATCCTTCACGTTTAGAAAAACTATTTTTCCTTCTGCGAAACGATTTAAATCAAGCTAATTTATATTATCACATTGATAACAGTTCGTTTGGTGAGCCCCAGCAATGCACGGTCTTCTGGTCGCGTTGAAGTATGGTATAATGACACTTGGGGAACCATTTGTGACAATTCGTGGGACTTACAAGACGCTGATGTAGTTTGTCGCCAGCTTGGATACGATGGAGCTTTATCAGCGCTCGGTGATGCAGCATTTGGACAAGGCACTGGCCAGATATGGCTTGATGATGTAAAATGTGGAGGAAATGAGACAGTGATAGCGCAGTGCAATCACAGAGGATGGGGAGTTCACAGCTGTGGACATATTGAAGACGCTGGTGTGGTGTGCCGATCTGCTGGTAAGGCAACCACCCGCGATCATGATCTGCTACCATATCAATAATTCTTACCCTTGAATAACTAAAGAGTTCACGCTGAAAACACTAGCTCTTCAAAAAACACTATGGCGCCTTATCCTTTTGCTCTAACTTCTAGGTGATAATCATCCAAGTTAAGGACGTTCCATTCTTCAGTGCAGGCATTGAATAGATGTAATTGATAATTTGTTATTCACAAGACGTTTCCCAGATCAACAATAGCTGGATTTTTTGTGAAAAAAATCTCGTTTGTCATTTTCTTAATGGCAGTGCAATGAGAAAAAATTCTAGTTAAGCAGGGCTTCTGAAAGATGTACGCAGTCTAATACTTTAAATGGCAATCTTCGGGCTTAGTAACGAAGCAGGAAATTGGCAGCTTTATTACCGCCTTTTCAGGCGACGTCCACGACCATTCCCGTCTCCAGAGCTCATTGTTTCCTAGTTTACCAGAAAAACCATAGTACGAGAAATCAAGAAGGTTTTGACTGATTTTTTTAAATTGGTGAGTCATAAGCGTTTGATTCGAGTTTTTCAAAGAACCGTGCGGAGTGTAGACAAAAACATATGCCACTAAAGGCAATCTCTAAAACTGGAAAGTCGTCTTTTTTATCTACATCTTAAGATAACAAACTTGCACAATTAGATGATTTGTGAACGATAATGTTTCGTGGGAAAATATTAAACATGTTAAGCCATTATTGTGAACTCCTAAACATGACATGAATAACTGAAGAACAAAATTTGGACCAGTTCATGAAAATCCATAGTAATTTTATACAGAAGTCATATAATAGCCAAGTCGTTTTTATTTTTGGAACGAACATTTTTTCTTTTTCAAGTCAAACTAAGTATTTTTATTTTAACTATAGTTTCCAATAAAAAAAGTTGGTAAAATATTGAAGGCTCAAAGTTTGGGTAAACTTCGCTGCTCACAATCGATCAGCAACCATTAAGTTTTACCGCGGCGTGCTTAAGCAACTGTTAAGTTAAAACAAAGGACTTGAAATCAAAATTGTCGTTCAGCAGAAATGAAATAAAGGCCACTCGCAGGTAACTGTTAGATGGTTACCCGCAGAACATGTTTTAGCTGAGAGTCTCCCGAGACTCAATAGGACGCTTCATTGTTTCTGTTGGCGGTCGGCATTTGGAGTTTTTCAGAGTGTTTACACAATTTAACATGTGGTCGCTCAAAGGTGTGAAGTATTGGGAAAAGCTGAAAGCTAAAATAAACCCACTTCGTTTTTATGCAAATTTGCTTTCTTTGGACGAATTAATAGCGTATGTCAACTTTGCGGATTGCCCTGAAATTTGGTCCGAAGCTTGCGAGATTACCAACCTAAAAATATGTGCGGGGGAATTCCGTTTTTCAAAATGGATCTCCCGCAACGGCCTCCGAAGAAATGCGTATCGGAAAAAGTTTGATCAGCAAATTTGACAGATGAATTGCCAAGCAACCAATAAGAATATCGAAAAATCTCCACGGTTTTGAAGAACCTCTCAGAATTAAAATCGTGCAGAAGTTTATTGATGTGGTTAGATTTTGATATGCGATTAATTTGCTCAAAGAAACGTCGTCCATTTCGGATTGTCGTGCCCCATTCGGTTTTCGATAAGATAAAGCTAAAACGAAATAGTTTTTGCGGAATATTGCATTTCATAACCTTTCCATTGATACCTAGTTTATGATGGTTATCCTTTAAATAACACGTTCATTTTTTTTCTTTTTTCGGCGAAGGCGCAAGCGGTGGTCTACCGTAATCTTAAATCAAGCTTCCATAAATGCTAGCGAAAAAACTGCTGGGATCAATGGATCTGGTCACCTTAACATATATCTAAAAAGTCCCTCCATTAAATGAATTTCCAAGAAGTTTAAATCAGTCAGATAGCGTACATCTTAATATGAGAGCCTTTGATATCCAAATGCAGATGATGTTCTAAAATGTACGGCCAGGTTCAGGAGCTGTGATTGTCACATGATATTTATCAATAAGTTTTGAAAAGTTGAAGACTAACCCTTACTCATCCTACTTGTAGGAAAGACAAACAAACACCAACTGGGTTAAACGTAACTACTGACGGTATCAAAGTATGGCAAAGATTCGCTGGGTGAATCAATCCAATTTAAGCGATGACAAAATTGATTCAAGTTTACTGGTTCTACGTACGATAACTGATTAACTTATATTTCCGTGATAACAGCTGTTCGTCTGGTTAGTTCCTTCAATTCGTCAAGTTCTGGTCGCGTTGAAGTGTTGTACAAAGGTGTATGGGGAAAAATTTGTGGGCACTCTTGGGACCTTTGGGACGCTCAAGTAGTTTGCCGCCAGCTTGGATTCGAAAGAGCTTTAGCATCATTTTATAACGCAGCACTTGGGCCAACAGATCAAATATGGTTGGATGAGGTGCGATGTGGGGGGGACGAGTCATCGATATCAGAGTGTTTGCACATTGGATGGAGAGATAACGAATGTCCAAATAATTACGGCGCTGGCGTAGTATGCCAACCCACAGGTATAGTGATTAAACACTTACAAATTAGATTACTAAAGGGAGAAAAATGTCTTTTCTTCTGTTCCGAAAGCTCTTTCGGGGTAATGATACAATTTTTGACAGAATTCATTTGTAGTCAACTAAGACTAACCCTACATTATAAAGGATCCGTTTTCTACTTTGTGTACTTTCACTAAAAACGATGCGATCGGAAAAAGGACTTGAAAAATTCTTCTTTCATCTAATTTATTTTTTTTCTTTTCGAATTTACTACCTGCACATTACATGTAATTAATAACTGGATAAAATGAAACTACAAGCTATGACAAGTATTAATTGTGAACCATAGAAACAGTAAATACCGTTCGTCGAGTGAGCTACCCTGTCTCTCTTTCTAATCATAGTTCGTTTGGTGAGTCCCAGCAATTCCTTTTCTTCTGGTCGTGTTGAAGTGTGGTTCAATGGTACATGGGGAACCATTTGTGACAATTCATGGGACTTACAGGACGCTGATGTAGTTTGTCGCCAGCTTGGATACGATGGAGCTTTATCAGCACCTGGTAATGCAACATTTGGACAAGGAATTGGCCAGATATGGCTGGAGGATGTTAAATGTGCAGGAAATGAGACACTGATAGCAGAGTGCAGTCACGGAGAGTGGGGAGCTCACAACTGTGGGCATGTTAAAGACGCTGGCGTAGTGTGCCGACCTGAAGGTAAAGCGACAACTCCCGCATAATACATCAGCACTTGTCTACTACTGTTCAATTTTTTAGGAGAATATTGCTAATGCACTTTGTGTTATCCACCTTGGGTCAAGAACAAACTGCCCCTTTCCAACATCTTCATAGGGGTTGACGCCACCAACAGGCTAGATTAAGCGAATCAAGCGCGCTGATTGGCTTGACCCCTTTGTGCTTAATTGTAAGTCACTGGGTTTGCTTTTTCCAAAACGAATCTTATTGCAAGCTTTACCCTTGAACAAAAAAAAGAATACGTTAAAATTGTTTTGTATTAACTATAGAGGTATTCAGCATTTAAAGTAATAGTGCACGGTGAAATTATACAGTCTTAAACCCAGCTTATTTCTACTTAATTTGCTCTTAGCTAATCAATTGCGAGCGCTCCCTTTCTGCTTTCGCTAAATGGAAGTGCTTCACTTTTTTTCTGTTTTCAGTATGATTTTTTTTTTTCTATTTTCAATATGAAATTTATTTTTAAGTCTAGAAGGAGATGAACTTCGTTGCCAACTCAAAAAAAGGTTCCAAAACGAAACTAACAAGCCAAATGCGAAGCTAAGGTATTCACATGCAGAGCTCAGTTAAAAAGCTTGAGATTTTTTCGGAAGAGAAAAAATTTTATTGCATCAACCATCACTGGCCTGTACGCGATAAAAAGTCCCAAACATGTTGCACCGAAACAATATTTCATTTTTTCACCAGCAACGAATTCCCAAGAGGCTGTTCTGGAAGACTATTCGAGATTTAAATACTGTTGCAACTGATTTCGATCTAACAGATAAAGGTTTCTAAGTACAGAGTCACCAATGTCTTAATACTGAAGAGCTTAAGAATCCGATAGTACTTTTACAGTGATCAGCTTAAAAGCTTATCACCGACTGAAATCGCTGGCATGCTGAGAACCGTGACTATTCTATCGATCCAAGCAGTTTCAATGGTCACGTAGGACTTATATATTTATCATTGGGAAAGTTAGTAGACAGTATAACCACCTTGCCCATAGAGAAAGTTATTTCAGTGATCTCCACTACATCCTAGCTGTCAACAGAAAAGGCAGCGAAATAGTGAAAAAAGGGGAAAAATGAAAATATGACGGAGAGCATTGCAATACGATGGTTAAGGGTTAACCACTGAGGGGCAAGAAACCTGTATAGTTGGTTCGAGGAAGGGATAACCGAAGAATATGTAAAAATAATGACTTTTGAATACATGAAAATCATAAGTGTGAACTACGGTTTCATGAAATGAAAGTGATCCTCGCATTAATAATCCCTACTTATATAGTGCCGGAAAGTATGCACCAGTATGTGCCCATTGTTTTCGTTGAGATAATTCTCATTGCTAGTTGATTTCAACTAAGTCAGTCGTTGCGTCAGCTTTTGCTTACCACGCATTGCTCTTCGTTAAGAGTTTTTACTGCCGGACCAGGTTACACCACAGATTGTAAGTTCATTTCTATTTCATTTAGTTTTTCGTCGTAGTTCTAGTTTTTGTTATATTTGTAGTTAGATATTTGTATTAATTATTTGTTTTTAGTCGAATCACACTCACACGCACGTATCCACGAGTTTTTTTCATCTAAATAGACGTCCATCTAGAAAATGAATCGAGTGTGCGTTCGCTTTGTTGCGTTAGATATGTAGTTATCTATCCACATGCTCCAATATATGATTCGTGATACAAGTTTTTATATCAAGCTTAAATTCTGAGTTTAACGGCTCCACGTTTCTTATTTAACGTTCACATTTACAATTACAGCTATTCGATTGGTGAGTCCCAATAATTCGCCGTCTTCTGGTCGTGTTGAAGTGTTGCACAGGGGTACCTGGGGAACCATTTGTGACGACTCCTGGGACATAAGGGACGCTGAAGTAGTTTGTCGTCAACTTGGATATGATGGGACCCTATCAGCAACTGGTAATGCAAACTTTGGACAAGGAACTGGTCAGATATGGCTTGACGATGTTCATTGTGTAGGAGATGAAATTTCGATATCGGACTGTTATCACCGAGGATGGGGAGTCCACAACTGTAGGCATTACGAAGATGCATGCGTTATGTGCCGACTCACAGGTATGGCTGTGACTGAATTAAACTTTTCGTGCCACGTGTTCTCACTAGTTTAATCATCAGCACAATTAGCAGTCTAAAGATCTCTTTTACATAACTCTTTTATGTTACTTACATTACTATTCTAGAAAGGAAGGGAAACCACGCTATGCTAAGTATTTTCTCTCGCAATTCCCCACTGCATACAGACATCTTAGTCTGCTTTGAGTCTGTTTCACAAGCCGATGAGTAATGAACATCAGCCATTACTCTACTTCGCTGTTATTTTTTAATGTCTTTTTATAACCTATCGTCTCCTTTTCCCTCTAGCCAAACCCAAGATTCTAAATCTGCTTTGTCCAAGCTCTCTACTTCTTGGAAGTAACGTAACTCTTTATTGTTATGTGACTGGTAATCCTTCTCCGAACATTACTTGGATATGGGAAGACACAGGAGATGTTCTTAGTAGGAGCGAGGAGCTCACTTTTTCAGCTGTCAATCGTAGCCAAGCAGGAAATTATCAATGTCTGGCGTGGAATGGAATTGGTAACAGCTCCATCAGAACATGTAGCCTGGACGTGTATTGTAAGTAAAAATCTTTTGAGCCAAACCTTTAGTGTTTCGCACAAAGACCGTGTGGTTATTAAAGGATATGCTCGAATAATAATGCTTTTCACGCAAATCATTCCCAATTCAATGATTTATTTCTAAATCTCAATCAATGGTAGGGGGCTGATCAAGAAATGGTCAAAGGGGCGTCCAGAAATCTTTATATTCGTGGCAAATATCTTCTAAATTTACCCAAGCCCGTCTCCGGGCCCCCCGTCCACTCCCTCCTTCACCCGCGGTCACACGTCATACTTTGCTAATAATTTAACGGGAAACGAACCAGTTTAATACAAAATTTTTTTTATAGACGAACCTCTGGTTCTAAACTTAGAGTGTCCACCCTCAATTAATGAAGGACATGATGCGACTCTAACCTGCAAAGCAAGTGGAAATCCTCCCCGGAATATCACCTGGATAAGGAAAGACACGGGAGGTGTTCTTGGTACCAACGAACAGCTGACTCTTACAGGTGTGAATCGCAGCGAAGGTGGCATTTTTCAGTGCTTGGCGTGGAATGGAATTGGAAATAATTCCACCAGGTCGTGCAGTGTGGATGTTTATTGTAAGCCAATATTTTTATCACATAAGATTATGAGTTTATGAATAAGTCCTAGCGATACAGCGAAGGTGGCCTTTTCCAATGTTTGGTGTGGAATTAGATTGGCAACAACTCCATCAGGACATGCAGCCTGGATGTGTATTGTTAGCCATTTATTTTCATTACTTAGGAAGATACGACTGAATCCCCGCTAAGTCGAACTCGGTGGAGACGGTAGACACAAACTCCCCGCCAACTCTAAAAGATGTCATTTTTCCTGGATTTGACGCCACTTTCTCAGTCATTTACCGACTTTACAAACAGCTAACTTGAACTCAGTTAACCCGAATTCCCTGTTAACTAAAAATTGATTTACTCTCTATTGGCTCAAATTTACCCTGATAAAAACGTCGGTCGACAAACGTCAAAGTGTTAGAACATAGCTGATTGACGTGTCAGCAAATAGGCGTTGCCTTTTGATGACAGATTTATTTTGATCACAAGATTCATGATTGACATTAATTCTGTACGGTGATTTAAAAGCATTGCCCTACTATGTTTTAAACCAGTTTTTCAGAAGAATCGAAAAGAGAGAGAGGTCGTTTTCATAGTCTGTTAAAAAATCCGCTTATCTGAATCTGCTAACCTGCAGAGTGAGACTGTTTTTACGACCCGCCCCAGTTGTAACTTTCCAATCACGTCTTCTGAATTTTGCTACGAGAGAAAGACTTGATTTGCGTTTTTCCAATTTCAAATTATAAATGTATTTCTTAAGATCGAATAATCATTGAAGCCTGGATTAACATTATACGGTTTGTGGCGGTCGACTGAGCTGACAAATTCCGATTAAGGAAACATTTCTCAATCTTTGATAGCGATCGATATGGACGTGATGATATTGATGGAAACTTTGTTCAATTAGCTGAAATTTCCAAACTGAATTTCCTTATCAAAAGTCTTCTCAAAGAAACGAACTGTATCCACGAAAATGACAGTTGACTATGCAAGATGGTAAAAATATGATTCCAAATTAATGACTGACAGAAAAAATTGAAATTTCACATCATAACCGATAGCTCGAACTTCCGCTGATTCAAACCGTTTCTCGTTCGTCTTGGGAGCTCAAGTCAGAGGGGTTCTACTGTAGTTAAGAGGTTTACTTTCGACAAGAAAATAAGCTTCAGAGATATTGAGGAATACATAAATGATATTAAGACTTAGCCAAGACTACTGGAGTTGTTTATTGGCCAGTCTTATTTATTAGCAAATCGATGATAATTAAACAAGGAACGCTTCTTTTGTAATGTAATGTAATGTAATGTAATGTAATCTTTATTTGAACACGATCAATTCATCAGCTCATTATAAAATACATATGACATATGCTAAGATATCTAAAATTCAAACTGCATACTATAACACTAAAAGCTGTTTTCCGTGAATGCCATGCGTTAAACTTAAAGAATGTCATTGATCTTACGTTTAAATACCCCCAAGGACTCTGTGTTCCTTACCTCGAATGGTAGACTGTTCCATAACGTGGCGCCATTGTAGCTAAAGCTTTTTCTGTAATAATTGGTGAGCGGTATTGGAACATTGAGCTTATTTTCAGAGTCCCTGAGGTCATAAGCAGAGTCACGCCACGTACACTTTGAGTACAGATACTCTGGAGCTAGCCCGTGCAGGCATCTAAACATCATGGTGGCTTTATCGATTTTCTGCTGGCATGCAAGATTTTTCCACCCTAAATACTCGAGTAGCTCAGTTGCATCAGTATCATAGTTAGAATGTCAACACACGGACTGCTCTATTCTGCCATTTCTGCAGTTTGTCTCGTAGCGTTTTCCCACAGCTACCCCAAACAATGTCACAGTAATCAAAGTGAGGTTTTGCTAAAGCTTGGTAAACGAGATGTAAGGTTGATGTTGGGATCAGGTGCCTAATTCGCTTTAGGACCCGATACTAGAGGCGATCTTTTTCGTTAGTTTTTCGGTGTGACTATGCCAATCGAGTTTATCGTCTATTATTACACCAAGCGATTTTGTAGCTGTAACCTGGCTCACTTGAGTATTGTTCATTCTAATTGTTGGTGAAGCTGTGAGAGTATTCAGTCTTTGCCTCGACCCTATATTAGCATGAATTCGGTTTTGGTCATGTTCATTGTGAGTTTGTTCGCTTGTAGCCAGTTGAAGACGTTTGCTAGGTCTTCATTTAAACAAAACTGAACGTTCTCAAGATTGCTTCCCGCAAATGTGAGTGCGTGTCGTCGGCATACATTCTCGGTTTACATTTTAATAAGCAATTTGGAAGGTCGTTGATATATAATAAAAACAATAATGGACCGAGAACAGTCCCTCGAGGGACGCCGCAAGTCAATGAGTGGCTATTGGATAGCGACCCGTTCACAGAGCATTTTTGTGTTCGGTTTTCCAAATATGACTGAAACCATTTGAAAGATTTGCCATGTATACCATAATGGTTTAGTTTCGATAGAAGGATCTGATGATTAACAGTGTCAAAAGCCTTTTTCAAATCCAGAAAAATGACGCCATTGATTTTCTCGTTATCAATATTATATGCCCAAGAATCTGTCGCCTCCAACAAAGCTGTTACTGTTGAATGATTAGCACGAAATCCTGATTAGTTTTGACATAGAATATCGTGGTCTTCCAAATAAGCATGTAACTGTTCATAAACTATCCTTTCAAACACCATCACCACTACTGGAATTACCGATATTGGGCGGTGATTCTTAACAACACCGCGGTCACCCTGTTTATACAGAGGGATAACCCTTTCATATTTCCAATCATCTGGGAACGTCCCTTGGCTTTGCTAATAGATTGATTAAAAATATCACATATCGGCACACAAATAAGATCAGCACGTTCCCTGATAAGCCTAACAGATATTTTGTCAAGGCCCGTTGCCTTTGACTTGTCTAGTTTATTTAAAAGTGAAAATACTTTAGTTGGATTGGTGGGTTGGAGCTTAAACCGTTTATCTGTAGCGGTAAGATATCTTTGATAGCTGCCACTATGACGATTTATCTCACTGGCAAGTTTGGGACCAATATTAGCAAAGTGGTTATTGAATTCGTTTGATAGCTCCAACGGATTAGTTACCGTTAATCCATTCACTTTTAGTGACGCCACTGGCGTTTTCCCAGATTTTCGAGAAGTTAGCTCGTTTATAGCCTGCCAGATCTTTCGGGAATCGCTGGTGTGCTTATTAAAACTATTTTGGTAATAAACTTGTTTAGCTGAGCGTATTTGCTTATTTACTATATTTCTTTGTTTCTTAAATAATGCCCAATCGTTAGGATCATTTGTCTTGCTAGCTTTCATTTTTAATATGTCTCTATTATGCATAAGGTCTTTCAATTCAGAGGTAATCCCTGGAGAACTCAGTGAACGAACGCGCATCGTTTTCAGTGGGGCATGCTTGTCAGCGATAGCCAGAAATGTACATTTCCATAGCTGCCACATTACGTTTGGGTTGGAAGACTCGTATACATTATCCCAACATTGAGATAGAATATCATAACGAAACTTCGGAAATATCTATATGTAAGAGAATTATGTCCGTTAGACATTCCATTCAGGGCAAGTTTTCTATATACATATACCATGCTATGATCACTTATCCCGATATGACAATTGTTTTGATTGATTTTTCAACTGATCTTCTCCTTTTGTCTCCAGTCGGACCCCAGGTTATTAACATGCATTGTCCGAGCTCACCAGTTCTTGGAAGTCGCGAAATTTTTTTTTGTAATGTGACTGGTAATCCTTTTCCGAACGTTACTTGGATATGGGAAGACACAGGAGATGTTCTTAGTAGGAGCGAGGAGCTCACTTTTTCAGCTGTCAATCGTAGCCAAGCAGGCAATTATCAATGTCTGGCGTGGAATGGAATTGGTAACAGCTCCACCAGAACGTGCAGCCTGGACGTGTTTTGTACGTAAGAAACCCCTCAAGCTAAACTTTTAATGTTTCGCTACACTGCACAAAGACTGTGTGGTCATCAGTGGAACTGCTCTAAAATAATGCTTTTCTAATTCGAAAACCACGATATCGCCGATGGAATAATTTGTTTCAAAATCGTAATCAATTACAACGGCGAATTCAGGAATTGCTGAAAAGAAGAGTCCAAATAATTTTTTTTCGAGGCACATCACTTCTCAACCAACCTTTCCGGATCTGACAAGGAATTGAACCGTTAAAGACCTTTCCTTTTATCTCAGAAATAAGTCATCTGAAGGATTTTGAATGAAAGACAAATCAATCAACCGTAACAGTATTGCTTTTTCTTATAGACGAACCTCTGGTTCTAAACTTACAGTGTCCAACATCAGTCGTTGAGGGATATGACGCGACTCTTCTCTGCAATGCAACTGGAAATCCTCCCCCAAATATTACCTGGATACGGAAAGCCACAGAAGCTGTTCTTGGTACCAACGAACAACTGACTCTAACGGCTGTCAACCGTAGCAAAGCAGGCACTTTTCAATGCTTGGCGTGGAATGGAATTGGCAATACCTCCACCAAGGCATGCAGTCTGGATGTGTATTGTAAGCTATTGTTGTCATTACTTACGAAAATAGTTGAAAATAGTTTCCTTTGGAGGAAAATAAATCCTAGGGATATTTAGGAATCCATTTTATTTTCTCAAGCACAAAAGAAATGACACAGATTTAGCGCTCAAGATTAGAGATATATTTTACTCGCACGCCCTATCGATGAAGCTGAAAATTCTAAAGCATGGCCCGTACCTGAATGAGTGCATTTAATAAATTCTCGAAGCCGTAAACTTTTCTCTTTTTCTCGAATTTATTTTAACCATGATTTAAAGAAATTAAGCCAATCAATGGCTCAAGGGGATTTTTAACTGACCTCGGAATGTTGAAAGCTTCCTTTCAGGTCTGCAAGTTAAGTATGAATGATATAAGAAATGAATACATGAAGTTAGGTCCGTTTGGGAAGGTCCCATGCGTGGATGGGTAGAGGACTGCGAATGACGCGTATGCCATCTTTTTAATGACATGTTTTTTTTACGTTGATTAACCAACCACTTTCGATGCTGAAGGCAACATCACATTCCCTTGATGTCAAATATGTTTAAACTTGTTTTTAACGTGATATTTCAGGGTTGGGCTGATTTTCTTGACTCATTATAACGCTTGATCACGATACACGTACAAACTAGGGAAGGAATAATTTGCTATTTGACAGACATAAGAAAGGTTCAAAGTTAACTCAAACGGTTTCATTTTTATTTTGCAGAAAAATTCCTTTGAAAAACTCTGACAAACAATCGATTGGAAAATTATTTTCTTTTTCCTATAGACGAACCTCTGGTTCTCAACTTAGAATGTCCGACATCAATCATTGAGGGATATGGCGTGACTCTTAACTGCAATGCTACTGGAAATCCTCCCCCAAGTATTACCTGGATAAGGAAAGACACGGGAGGTGTTCTTGGTACCAAAGAACAGCTGACTTTTACGGCTGTGAATCGCAGCGAAGGTGGCATTTTTCAGTGCTCAGCGTGGAATGGAATTGGCAACAACTCCACCAGGACATGCAGTCTGAATGTTTATTGTAAGCCATTATTTTCATTAAATGATAAAATAGTTTATAAATCAGCTATAGGGATACTGAGGAATTCACTTTATTGACTCACGCACATAATGAATTATATACCGATTTAACTGAGATTAGTGGAACTGTTTACTCGCACGTGCCATTAATGAAGTAAGACCTCTAAAGCATAGCCTGTACCAGGATAAGTGACAATAAGAATACTGCATGTGATGAATTTTTCTATTTTCTCCAATTTATTTTAATCATAATTTTAACAAGATTTAGCGACCAAGATTAGAGAAAAGTTTTACTCGCACGCCCTATCGATGAAGTTGAGAACTCTAAAGAATGGCCCCTATATACCTGAATGAGTGAATTTTTAAATTCTCCATGCCGTAAAGTTTTCTTTTTTTCTCCAATTTATTTTAACCATACTTAAAAGAAATTAATCCAATGGCTTAAAAGGTTTTTTAACTGACCTTTAAATGTTGAAAGCTTCCTTTTCAGTTTGCAAGTAAAGTTTTAAATGATATAGGAAACGAACACATTAATTTAGATCCATTTGGACAGGTCCCATGCGTAGATGGGTGGTTGACGGTAATAACTCTGTTATAATCAAGGTGTAATACATGTCAACATGAAAAAAATTGTAATTTGTAAAACTTCCGAAAATTTCTCAATTTGACAAATGTCTTCAGTTTTTTACAAATTTTATTGCTATGGTCTTGCATAGAAGTTTCTTATCCAATCCAAACCCTGAAAATGGACTGCATGTTACGACTGGCAAAGCGCAATGAAACGGCAAATAAGATACTATATTTTGGTGAGGAAGATTCTTTTCTTACCTCATGTATAATAAAAAGGTTCCTTTTCAGTTCATCCACAGGTACTTGACATACATTGTCCAACCACGATAGTTGAGGGAAGTAATGTAACTCTTCACTGTAATGCTGGTGGAAATCCATCTCCAAATATCACTTGGATATTGCAAGATACAGGACATGTTTTCGGTAGAGGCGAAAATCTTACTCTTACAAAAGTTGATCGAAGTCAAACAGGGACTTATCTGTGTCGTGCGTGGAATGGAATCGGCAGCAGTTCCACCAGAACATGCAGCCTAGATGTGTATTGTAAGCAAAACATACTTTTTCCCTTACTTTACGAACTCTCGAGTTAAAACTAGCAATTTTGTCAAGTCTGAAAATACTTTTTGCCCTAAGCAGTTATCTGTTCAGAGCGTTTTGCGGGGCAAACTGGACAGGATTTTCTCAGCGAAAATTTTTTTTTTCGGTCTATCTTCAGGTAAGCAGTGCTCATCGTCTGTTCGCTTATTTATCTTCCAAGAGAATTTCATTTATTACTAGTTAAAACTTTTGGCAAGGTATTTTTATAACTGAAGCTCTCCTATCCCTCTATAAATTTGTGGCGTGTTGACCAAAAATGGTTTACCCTCTTGGCAATGATATACCGTCTAAGGATTACCAATATAGGAACTAACTAAGGAAAGTAGGTTGGTCAAGTAAGAGGTCGAAGTTTTTCTGTTGCATTGGTGATAAAGAATCGGATTCAAAGGAAAATGACGGCGCTTGAATTGCTGAGAATAAGGACACATCGCATTAATTAAATGTCATAAATATAGAATACTTCGTGGACAGTCTGTCCGTATGATATTTACGCACGAGTCGGTAGTATCGCAAATCGAACGAGAGAGCGCAACGAACGAGTGACGTTTCTGATATACCTGATACAAACCAACGAGTGAGTAAATGCCATACGGACAGACTTTTCATGGTGTATTATGTTTATTACAAGCGAAAAAAAAACAAAATACCTGTCACTGCTTACAACAAAGCATCTTGAGCTTGAGGGTTCATAATTCGTCGAACGGAGTGAATAAACTCCTCAAGATTCATGTTTAATTTCCTTATGCTTTTTGCCGCTGAAATTCTTTGAACAGATTCAAATTTCGCCGCTTTGATTTTTCGTTATTTTCTCTTTTTTTTTTTGTTCTGCATGCTTTCTGTTCCACTTAATCCTCCACAGAAGTCCCCCAGTCATCTCTTGATATTAATTTGACTTAATAAACAGCCCTGATAACGGATTTAGATGATTTTTCGAACGGTTTGAAAAACGAAACGTCGCCAATGAAGGTTGAATGAGAATCGCCTCGATATGCTTCAGACGAGTAAAACATGATACGTGTCTCCTGATTGAACGTACCGTTTTCTTCTACTCGTGAAAAAGCGACGCGCGTCATTTGATTGGCCCTCGGCTTCTTCGACCAGCTTCCGAATTAGAATTTATTTTTCGACTTTTTAGCGTGCAAATCTCAGTATTTATGTAATAAATGTGCAAATGTGTTTACTCGTGATATTTTGGTGTTGGGCCGAGTTTTTTGACTCAGCATAGTACTCAGTCATGATACTGGTGTAAACTTACCTACTAGTACAAGAATTATATGCCATCTGACTGATACTCAGCGTTTTAAAGTCAAGTCAGTTTGTTTTTTATCAGTTGAAACTCAAATTCAGGCCTCACAGTGTTCGAGCTCAGTCACTGAAGGAAGAAGCGTAAATCTTCAGGGTACTGCTACTGGTAATCCTTTTACGAACGTCACATGGATATGGCAAGATAAAAGAGATGTTCTTAGCAGTAATGAGCAACTCATTCTGTTCGATGCTCAACGCAACCAAGCGGGGTCTTATCAATGCTTTGCATGGAATGGAATTGGCAAAGTTCGATGAGTACATGTGACTTGGATGCATTTTTTAAGTCAATTAACTATGAAGTTTTTAAGTGTATGTGTCGGCCGAGGAACATGCGAGAAGTAAACATAATGATGACAATAGAGTTTTATAACCCTATCGTAAGAGGTTGTTTCTTTCGTGGGAATGATATGACATACCAATGGAATCGTTATTACAATCGTTTCCCCGACAGGCCCTAAAGCGCTACCGCGAAAATAACGAACTCTGTTTATGTTGCAGACTTGCCAACTAGAACAAGCATGACTCCCAACCTAAATGGTACTGTCGTGTTAGCTGGAGGCAGCTTGTTCCTCAACTGCACCTCAGATGCTAACCCTGCAGTTAAAGAGTTTCAGTTGACTTTTGGAAGTACCCTTATCGCCACTAGCAGCTCTGGGATGTTTAGCGTTACTGTGAAGACATTTGGAATATACAAGTGTTTCCCTGTAAATGAAGTCGGCTCAGGGGACAGTGCTACAGTCAAAGTCACTGTTCTCGGTGAGGATATATTGTATAAACTGTCCTTTATGACTGATTTCTTTGGCCTAAGACTCCCATTTAAATTGGGATCAATACGACTTAATTATGTAACAGATTACCAAGGATTGAGCAGAATAACACTTGACTTAGATCATCTCCCTTTAGAAGTGCAATCTCTTTAAAGTTGTGAATAAAATGGCTCAACTTGAGTTAGCTTGAAAATTACGTCTTGAGCCTTAGCTACTACATCATTCTAATTGCAATGCAGCAAAACGTTCAGTAAAGTGCCTTTCGTACGAGAAAACATCTTCAAAAGGTTGCATACGTGTTTCTTTCTTTCGGTGGAATATCTAAAATTGATTGATAAGAATTATCCTCAAAAGAAACCAAAGAATATCTGGATCAAACAATGAGAGCTTTTGTTTCTCATGTCTATGTTTGTTTTCCCGAAGTTTCGCAATACTATCGTTGATAAATAAAGAAGTGAGGACGGGAGGAATGAATGCTCCCGCCGTTCCGCGCTTTTATTGTGGATATGCGATGGATTGATTGTTTTCACAATGAAAACATTAATTTTACTCAGCGCACTCTGGCAGTTAGTGGATTCGTAGATTTGTGCACTTCCGCAACCTTAATTACTCTATTACAAGAAATTGGTTTTGAGTTCCATTTCCCGATTTCTTCCGAAGCTTCGCAGTCCTGCCGTTGATAAATAAAGAAATGACGAATGGAGGAAGGACTGTTCCCACCGTTCCGCGCTTCTATAGTGGATATGCAATGGAATGATTGTTTTAACATTTCTGTGATCCCATAGTCGATGAAGTTTATGGTGGTACGACTGCGACCGCAGTCCCGCGGTTCTTTAAAACTGTGGTCAATGTAAAAGTTTAAGTTCAGACTCAGACGATTTTGGTTCCGGAAGCATTCTATAAATACGTTTATTGATAAATTCTATGCTTACTGTTTTTTGTTCAATTCCGTTCATATTATGTTCTAGATGCTCCTGGTTTCCCGGTCTTTGTAAACAGGACCGTGGACACAATCACTATCAGTTGGTCACCAATTTATCTTCAATCTGCTACATATACCGTTAACATAAGACCTGGAGAAGAAACAGCGTGGATGAACGCAACGTGTAAACAGACAATTTGGAAGAATCAGTGCACAGTGACCGACACAGTTGCGGAAGTTGCTGGCCTCGAAGAAGACTCTCTGTATCATTTTAGAGTTTATGCTAACTACAGAGGAGTCAGAAGTGACGGCAGTTTATCGTCAGGAGCCTTCAGAACAGCAGGTGATGTGCGATTATGTAGTTTCATGAATTCTTTCCGAGTAAAAGAAGCTGCTTCCTTGTGTGTTGTTTTCAGTTCATCATACACTTTTTTCAGAAATCATGATTTTATTGGAAAGAAGTATAATTAAAACGTAGCATTCAGATTGAATGCTCTGTTTTTCACTTATAGTTCCACTAACTTGTCATTAGTACAGATATGTAAGTATTTGCTAATTAAATGAATGGTTAGTTAGCAATGCTTAAGAGCCTTAATAATTTCACGTATAAAACGCACAGAATAAAGAAATAGCCAAGAAGTGTTTTATTTCTTTATCATTCATCAGTCAAATATATCCTTATTTATTCATCAACAACACAATAAAGATATATCATGACGCTAGTTACCTTCGCCTTTTTGTTTACTTAAGGTAGAAGTTTTACCTTATCTGGACATCACAGGCCTGCTTGTTTTATCACTGGCACTTACGATAGCAAGGGCTGGTCACGGCTCAACCAGCTGCATTGAACGTTTTCCCAGTGCGCGTTTGATTGTCGATATTTGGGAAACCGTCAATTGCTATAAACGAGCGGGGAGGTTTCTCTTTCAGTTTCCTCTTTTGTTTTTCAGTCCTGGCTGAACTGGCACTTGAGAAGATACGTGTTCTGTTTGTACTGTATCTCAGTGGAGGGTGGAGAAATGGAAATATCTAGCAACGGTAGGTGTGGTTATGTTGAAGTGATGAGCTACAATCATAATAATAAGTAAAGTAAGCAAAGCCCACTCAGGAGCATGTGGCTCATCGGTCCGACGATTAACTCCGGTTTCCGTAGCATGAAGCGACTAGGAGTATTTCTACTCCCCCCTGGATGGGATGCTAATCCATCGCAGGGTTATCCCCAGTCCCACTAACTACTAAGTCCTACTACTACTACCACTACTACTACTACTACCACTACTAAGTCCTACTAACTCGCCATCTTCTGGTCGTGTGGAAGTCCTACACAACGGTACATGGGGAACCATTTGTGACCGCTCTTAGAATTTACAGGACGCTAAAGTAGTTTGTCGTTAACTTGGATACGATGGAGCCCTATCGACAACTGGACTTACAGCATTTAGACAAGGAACTGACCAGATATGGCTGAGTGACGCTACATGCGTAGGAAACGAGCCATCGATATCGCAGTGCAGTCACAGAGGACAGAGAGTGCACAACTGAGGGCATAGTGAAGACGTGGGAGTAAAGTGCGGTCCTGCAGGTAAAGAGACAACACAACCACTAAACAAATTTTTTAGAATAAACTCATCTTTTTCATTTTTTATTTTGTATTCTAACGCATGATGTAAGCATCACTCGATGCGTTTAAATACAATTACAATAACAAGGTTCATGCTGCCTAGATATTAGTTAGTAGATATTTCACCATCAAAACTGTTCATTTCTCTAACCTCTACCATTAACTAATATCTATTATTAAAAACTGGATCATTGGATAATGCAATTCAAGACTTTTTATT